TGGGACATTTATTAAACTTTGTGATTCAGTTTGGAAACTCCATGCTTCTGAGGTAAGGAATTGGACTTTAGTCTCCTAGTTTTAATTTCACGCATAATTGCTTCATTAAATTTAAGTACATTGTCACATATCAACAAAAGGGTGCTTTCTTGATGGAACTTCACATTCTCACTACTTTAGTACAGGGAAATGTGTACATTATAGAGGAGAGAATTTCTAATCGTTAGTTTTGACTCTTGAAGTGGAGTTTCATCAGGTGACTCGGCTTGTGCCAGAATCCCAATCAGTGAAGAAAAAGCGCGTGCGCAAAATATGTTAGGAAAACGGATGCATCATGGTTTCTCTTCGCGCCCCGCTTGTTTTGTGAGCGCCAGTTTTCGCGCGCCAACTTTTTTGCTGGTCTCCACTGACTGAGAGTCGGGAAACGCCTACAAATCACTGCCTCTTGAATTTCAATGTTCTAATTGGTTGTCTTTGTATCATTAATTTTTCTTAAAACTGATTTAGAAATCTCCTTTTTTTTGCTATCAGTTCATTCTTCTTGTCAGCTCTCATCACAACTTTGGTGAGTGAATGCAACCTTTGTGAAAGAAAAAAGACAAATAAGTGAATCTTACCTCTCTACAGAAGAAATTACCTCTTTTCGTAGTTACACGGTATAATGCCGCCCTCGAATAAACGCCACAGTTGGAGGAAAAACTACATTCACTAATAAAATCTGCCCTAGAATAAACGGTGCTTCCAATATGAAACATGTTGCGTTTATTCGAGGATAACGAGGTACATTTCGAGCATGATGCTAATCGGTAATCTGCAACATTTATATTTTGCATGACAAACTTAAGACAATTCCGATTCTGTCTCAGCAAAAAGCGAGGCTCCGTTGGAACTTAAGACGTGTTTCTGTCTAAGGTGATTTTTAGAAATAATCTCTGGAAGTTCTTGTCAGTGATTCAAGAAATATTATTCCGAAATACACGCCGCCCTTGAGTAAAAGTGGTTCTAGAATAAACGCGGCATCCTAAACGCTAAAATTGTCATAAACGCTGCGGTGTTCAATCGCGTAATGGACATAATTATTATAGGAGATACAGTGTCACTCGCTCGTTTGTATAGTATTAAATATATTAATCAGTAGTTTCACTAGCAACCTTTGTGGCTGCTTTCCTTGGTGTTGATGTATGGGATCCCATGAGTAATGCCGTTCTAGAATAAACGCGGCATCCGAAACGCTAAAATTGTCATAAACGCTGCGGTGTTCAATCGCGTAATGTATATAGTTATTTTAGGAGATACAGTGTCACTCGCTCTCTTCAGAATGAGCCTTAGTAGACGCTGTCAGCCGGCACAGGCGACACAGGCGACACAGGCGACGCAGGCGACACAGGCGACACAGGCGACACGGGCGACACAGGCGACACAGGCGACACAGGCGACACAGGCGACACAGGCGACGCAGGCGACACAGGCGACGCAGGCGACGCAGGCGACACAGGCAGTACTGATAACTCAATTCAAACGTTGTTGATTCCTCAGTCGACCAAGAGGGTCTTGGTTGAAAACAGAACAGAACAGAAGAACAAGTTCCGAGTAGCTCGGATGTAGTTTCCCTCGCAGAGGGCCTAAGTACAAGTGATGGGACAACAATACCATCAAACTTTCAAGGAAGCTTCACTTTTTGCTGAGAGAGGGGTTGGGCGGCGGTACTTGTGATTGAGGAGTATCCTGTCTCGTGGATGTTGTGCTCTTGTAGGCTGTTTGACTCGTAATAGAAAGTACTCTTTATTTGTATTCATTGATGGACATTTGCACAATAACATTTTTCCGTTTGATATCACAGATCATTGCTAATCTTGAGCCGTTTATTTACCAACTGCCCAATCAGATTGTTATCTGGGTAGGTGAAAAAAAACTGTGACCTGTTATTTTACTTCCAAGGAACTGTTCTTGAGCTTCAATGCTAGTTTCAAGCTTTTATTTATGCGGTGGACATGAGGCACATTATTGTCAAACCACGCTTATACTATCTATATATAGAGTTTTAAAGGTGACGTTTTGAGCGTTAGCCCTTCGTCAGAGCGGTGGCCAGTTTACATTACCAACTCAGTTGATAAAACCAAAATTACCTTGTTACCCTCGCCGACGCAGCACCACAGTTTCTTCAAAAACTTACCCTCTTTTCTTATGAATAGCCGCCCAGCAGA